CCACGACTACTACTACTACTACTACTACTACTGCTACTACTACTCCTACTACTACTACTACTACTACTACTAGTAGTACTACTACTGCTACTACTACTACTACTACTACTACTACTACTATTACTACTACTGGGAATTTATAACAATTATTTGAGCAAGATTGCCGGCAATCTTGGTTATCTTTCCCCACTTGAGGGGGTGGCAAGATGACCATATCATCTTGGTCTAACAGGTCAACTAGTCGGGCAAGTGGGACAAGATGACCAAGATTGCAAGATGACCTGGTCATCTTGCCCCCCGGCCCCCGCCCCCGCTCAAGATGACAAAAATGACCAGTGGCCGAGGAAGAAAACTAAGCTGACAAGACTGCAAGTTGACAAAGATTTGCTTTTCAAACGATTGTTTTTAAATTCGGGGCACAATGTACTGCTGCTGGTACCAGCACTTGCTGCTAACAGTCACGACTTACACTAACTGCTAACTACTCATTCCTACCCCTCCTGCTGCTGCTGCCATTGCTGCTATGACTGCTACTGCTGAAAGTATTTTCTTCTGACCCACTATTGCCAGCACTACCACAACCACAACCACTACCGAGCAGTGACTACCCACTTTCCCCACCCCTACAGTACCCCAGCCCCTACTACTACGACGACGACGACGACTACGACCATGACCACCAGCAGCACGGAAAGAATCCAAGCTGAGACCTTATCACGCACCTTTCTGTCATGTTCTGTTAGATGGAAACAACTTCGGAGACTCAGGGCTGTAAAGTGAAGCGTGCAGTGCAACGAGGGGAGCCCGCAGATGTGATATGTGCTTGCCTCTCCCTCATGCCCGAAGAGCAAACCATGACCATGAACCTTGGGGCAGCCGTGGCCTTCATTTCGTTCGTCCAACGTCTGGCATCAAAGTGCGCACCTCAACCGCTGCTCATTGTTTCATGAATGAAGACAACTTTCGAACGAAATTGCAACGTGTTGTGTGTGTGTGTGTCACACTCCCGCCGCTTGGCTTGGCCAAGCACACCAAGGACCGGACAGTTTTTCCTTGGATTGAATCAGGCATGTTATTGCTGAAGTAAACAAGGTTGGCACAAGCGCTTGGACCGAAATCATTCGTGCAAGAGGAGGATTGCAACAAGTACGCCACAATGCCTCTGGCATGAACTCTGGCTATATCGGCTGGAACTCCGAAAAAACAACTTGCAACTGCTGCTGCATTCGCCTCATATTGCTGTCTTCAAACGAGCACTGTGGTGGTTCCAAGTCCAAACCGAAGCTCATGTTGGCGCCAATGTAGCTTCCATCCTGGCGCCGCATCTCAGGCACTTTCACTTGGCATGCCCTGTAGGCAGCACTTTATTCCGCACAGGCCGGCCTCGTGACACATGGCCCCATCGAAATTGAAGCCGTCCGGGCAGGGTCGCATGAAGTTGCGTACGCACTCCCATGCAGGCTTTCTCCCCTGAATATCAGGGTCATGAAGCAAGGAGTAGCTTGGAAAACCTCCAGTGTGCAAGCAAAAACGCTGCTGTCCGAAAGCTGTGGCCGCTACGGGCGCGTGGGACGGGTACTTGGCCGGCAGCGGCTTTGGCTGCGGGCCCGCATAGCGCCCGTCCAGTGGCCAGCCCACCTTCCCGTCACAAGCACGCTGGTAGTTCTGCCCCGAGCTTCCTGCCGTCGACAATCGACCAACGACCGGCATAGAGCCACCACGAAGTCTACAAAACCAATCTGCACCGGCATTTCACACACCGAATTCTGAATGCTTATGCAAACAGAAATCCATGTCTTTCCGTCACCCGGCCGCACACTGCCGGCAATTCAGTCACAGCCCAGCCGCATCAAGCACGAGCGTCCGGCCATGCTTGAAAGCTAGTTGACCAGTCCTGCAACTTCCCACATTGCTTGGAATTCTGGGAACCCGGGCACCACAGTTGGCAGCAAAGGTCGCCTCGGATACTGGTCTAAATTGGGAGGTCCTTTCTTTCACACCAGACCATGAAAGTGCGAGCTTTCGACACATGCTGTGCAAAGCGAAGCTTGGGGTTGCAAACTTCTGCACCTGAGACTAGGCACCACGGTGCCAGGCATTGACACGCTTACGAAAAGCTGCAAATTGAGGTCTTTGTGAGGATAAATACAATAAAAAAAGTCATGTGTACTGGACCACAGGCACTCAAAACAGCATGAACTGTTGAGAGCTCTCTGGACGCTCTGGAACCAGAAGACTTCTCTAACTCGTCCAAAATGAACATGTACCATTTTTGCATCAACAGCTCACCAGGTCTTAGCAGCTCCTCGACGAACAAGCTTCTCAGTGCATCACAACGTATAAGTATAACAAACAAACCAAGAATGAACATGGCTCTCCCGGACTCTGGCTGCATCAAAGCAAGATGCGGCCGATCTGCCTTCATTCCACGGGTGTAGTTGAGGAGGTTCACATTCCAAGGACACGTGCCGTGGTAGAAATACGGAGCTGAACATGTTCCGTCTTGCCTGAAGACCACAAGCTGAGAAAGTGTTCAAAGCACACCTGCTGCATGCTTATGGAACTTCCTGCCGGGTATGAAACAAGCGAAAACCACAGGTCTGCAGTCCGGATTTGTTCAAGCCTACGCATCGCCTGCGTGTCGCTTCTCGAGGATTTTATCTTAAAACCTCGTTGTGAAACCGCGAAGCTGGCTGTGCTGCTCTGTGGCTGCACCAATAAGCAGAGTTGAGCCATCGGTCTCTTTTCAACCGCTACATCGGCTTGAGGAAGAAACCGATCCGTAGACTCAGGCAGAAGCCTGCCCAGCGAGCTTGGGAGTCCAGGAATTGCTTGGACCGCTCGGTCGGGCAGGTCAGCCCCGACTTTTTATGTCTAGTGCGCGAAAAGCTGGCGCAACTCGATGTTCATGTACATTTCACCTCGTGCGATGCAAGCGGCAAAAAACATCCAGGTCCAAGCACACGAATACCCGCTACACCTAGGATTTGGGGCGAGCCGCCATCTCCACTCTCGACGTCTTCCTCTTGCTCATCCAGCGGCATCTTTGTCCCATCATTGCCGTCCAGGGTATCGGTCATCTCGGCAGCTATCATTTCCTTGAGGCGGGAACGGACACAGCGCGTACATGTTGATTGATGCATATGCAGGAGGTTGCTTACGTCAATGTGGTCCCTAATACGATGCCCTGTCTGCCTTTAACAAGCTCTTTGTGAACCGAGGCTCTCCGGCGAGAATAGTTTTCGCTGAAGTCAACGGCGAGTGCAATTTCACTCCGCGCAGAGACGACTCCTGCCGCAAAAAGTAGGACTCTGAACTCTTCTCACATCTCTCTTTCATGCAACAGACTCAGCAGCCGGGAAGTCATCGCCGGGACTTGATCTGAGGATGATTTGAAATTGCATCTGTGTAGTGTAAGGCGGTTTCTCAGCCGTGTCTTTATTGTTCTGCTGTATTGTTACTACCACTACCAGTACCAGTACCAGTACCAGTACCAGTACCAGTACCAGTACCAATACCAATACCAATACCAGTACCACCACCACCACCACCGCCACCACCACCGCTACCACCACCACCACCAC